CCCAGCTTTGTGCAGGGACAGGGGAGTCTGTCTTCCAATTTCACACCTTGTGTGGCTGGGACTTTTCTCTCATCTAAGCTCTTAGTTACAAGACTGATCCCATACATCTCCTCCCAAAGGGTCAACTCATGTGCTTAACAGGCCAGGCCTTCATTCGCGGAGCTTGCATGAATTCTTGCCAAGTCAGCTCAATGAATGTTTGTCGTATTTTATGCAGCATTCCTACATGTTCACAGTGGGAAATTTTCAGGTTATCTCGCCTATTGTATTATCCAACCATTCAAGCCAAAGTCATCTTCTAATTTGATATTTGACTCACAGTTGCAGGATAGGTGTCGTCCAGTCTCAGAGTCTGTGAAATATTCTCCAGTTGGAAAACCAGAAATTCCTCCTTCATTCCTTCCAAGTCAGGCTGCTCAAGATCAAACTTTCACAGCAGAGAAAGGTGTCCGTCCAAAGACAAAAAAAATATGCAGATTTCCCCTTCTTTCTGAAAAGTCAACGAGGCAAGCACCAAGAGGCACAAACAAAACCACGGATCTGCCTTTGAAGTCTGATCACAAGCTCAGGGTCTCTGCTCCTGTAGAAGATGAGACAGCCTATGACATTCTGAGGAGATGTTCTCAGTGTGGCATCCTACTTCCTCTGCCAACCCTAAGTCAGCATCAGGTACCCAGCCTTTGTCCTCTCCTTACCTGGCTGTGAACCATCTGGACAGTGTTTAAAGAAATCCAAGACCTGCAGGATGTTCGCAGACACCCCTGTCTCGCCTTTCTCTGTGTGCCCATATCCACTCTCATGACGCCTATCACCTGGTTAATATATTTGCATGATCTCCCACCTTTGAGGGCAGAGCCAGATTTTCAGTTCTGTGTCTCCAGTTCCCAGTCCAGGGACTGACCACACACAGCCAATGCTCCAAAACTGTAGAGTAAATGAATGAACAGAGAGCCTCCAGTCTGGCTCTCTCGTGGTGTAGATAAGCAACTGAGGCCCAGAGATCAGAGCCTTGGTCAAGATCCTAAGTCAGTTGGTATCTTGCCTCCAGCAGGTCAAGGTTTACTTCAGGATTTGCAGCCTCAGAAGCCTGATTTTTACAGCCTAAATGTAAAATAAGTAAGAATAAGAATTAGCATCAGAGGTAGTTAACCATTATGCACCAGTTACACTTCAAAGTTCTTTACAAATGGTTAGTCATTGAAAACAACAGGCAGGTGTTTAATCCTTAGCTTACAGATAAGGAAACTAGACAGAAAGGTCAAGTAGCTTCCCCAGGGTTGTACAATTAGAGAGTGGCAGAACCCAGCCTGGAGTATGTGTGTATATAAATGCTCTTAAGCCCCAGACAGGATGCCTCACTTTAAAAAAAAAGGGGGGGGGGTTAATTATTCAAAAAACAAAAGTACAAGATACTAGATTTTGTTGTAACGAATTGACATGATACCCATACGAACAAATATACAGATACAGCAAATTCTTCCCCACTCCCACCCCACCTCCCAGTGCCTTGACCTGAGATACCAATTTCAGCACCTGGTGGGTGTCCTTCCAAAGCTTTACCTCTGCTCACACAAACGTGAACAAGCCTCTATGGGGTTTGAATTGTTTCTTTTCCCCCATATATCATCTTCCTATACTCATTACTCTGCCATTCGCCTTTTTCACTTAACATATGATACACGCTCCTTACAAAAGAAAGTAGACCTAAATATTGGGGATTTTTTCCCCTGCTTCTTTAGGCATCTCTTTATGCACACAAGCACATAATTTTACAAAGTTGGATGAATTTCATACTTGCTGGGGATGTCACTAGGGCCACATTCCCTTGCCTCCCTCAATCTTCCGTAATTCCATACCGCCCTCCATCCTTATATAATAGGGTTGCTGGATTTAGCAAATAAAAATTCATTACTTGGGACAAAAATAACAACAAAATAATTTCATGGAATATACTCATATTAAGACAAAATTCTTGTTTCCCTGAAATTAAAATTTAACTGGGCATCCTGTATTTTGTCTGGCAACTCTATTATATAATCACATACATATACATACACACATTTGGAGTCTAATTATGCACAGTTCTTTGCATCTTAATATTATGACATCAATATCCAAGGACATCAATATCCAAGGACATCCCTGCAAGTCAAATGATGTGTTTCTCTCCTTTTTTTTCAATGGCCGCGTAAGAGTCCATGGTGTGTGTCCTCTAATGTGTTCATCCACTACCCCCCAACCCCCGATAATGACAGGCCTCTATTAAACATTGTCCCAAGCCTCCCGTGAACCCCTCCTGGCTCACTGGGCTCTTTTCTATGCCGTCTGTAGCTCAGGGTTCCTGCTCTGGGAACTGGGGATAGCAGTACCCAAAGATACCCCAGGAACTAACTCTTCCCACTTTAAATACATTGAACTTTTTAAAATGTCCATTTCTTTAGGAGAAATGCTTGTGGTTAGCTTCGTCAAAAGGAAAACAAGTGAGAAGTTCCAGCTAGAATCGGAAAAGAAAAGGTACGACAAATGTAAATGATTCGGTTTTTACACTGGTTTTTCTGCACGCTTTCTATGCTAGTCTTTTTCTTTTCTTTTCTTTTCATTTCTCATCTTTTGGGGGGGAGTAATTAGGTTTATTTATTTATGTATGTATTTTTAATGGAGGTACTGGGGATTGAGCCCCGGACCTCACACATGCACTCTACCACTGAGCTATACCTTCCCCTGTGCTGGTCTTTACTTGGGAAAAAAAGATGGGTTTTATTCACTGGGTTTCTTTCTTGTAGAAGAAAAGGTCTGGATCTTAACTATTTTTCTTCTTTTAACAGAGATCTTGGTTTGCCCAAGAGCCACAGATAAACCAGGAGAAAAAAGGGTTCCAGCTCTTCTGCCTGAGAGTTCTGATCAAGCATCCAGGCCCCGCACTGCCTAGATACTGGGGACCCAGCTTTGTCCCTGGAGAATAAAGGGCCTTCCCTGAAAGCCTGTCCAACACCTTTAGAGTTCTCACTGGTTTTCCAGGGCTGGTGACGGTGGGGTGAGGCAGTACACAAGGAAAGGGGAGTGGGTGGCAGAAAAAAGAAAGAAGGCAGGAGGAAGAAAAAAGTGAGGCTGGGTGGCAGGTGAAGGCCAGGTAAGGGCGCAAAAAGGTGCCCCTGAAGGCTGTTGGCAGGGAGAGCAGCTGAGAGACACCTCGAGATGCAACCGACCTCCCAGCAAACAGCACACCCCTACCCTTTCTGCCTGGCCTTTGGGGAGACCAGTTGGGGCACCAGCCCTTACCAGGGAGGGACGGGCCCAAGACAGTGGGTGGTTAGGTGAGCCCCACCCTCCCAAAACTGGAGAGGTGGAGTGGTTCTCAAGCCCCGTCACATCGCTAAGTCAGGTTTGCTTAAGGCTCTCGTTGGGAGCCCTGTCTAAGGGGGCCAGGGTGGGGGGAGTGGAAGCCGAGGCAGAGCGCTCCGCGGTGCTTTCCCAAAGAGAAGCGTGCTCGCTCGGTCCCCCGGACAGGACAGAACCCCAGGGCTAGGTCCGGACGGAGAAGGTGGCGACAGCGCGGGCCTGAGCCCCAAGTCTGGGGCAGACCCTCTTCCTCGCAGGAAGAGGGACAGGCAGCGGATGTGGGGTTGAGCTTCCTGCCTCCCGGCCCCCCAGCCAGGGCGCCTTCGGGAAATTCTGCGCGGGGACTCGTCTTGCCCACCCCCCACCCCCGCGCACCATCGGCTGGGCTGGTCACCCCAGGTTTGGGCCCCGCGGCCTTGGGGATGCGCAGAGCTCCGC